AAATTTACTTTGAAAATCATGGTAATCGTGGAACAATATGCTATCATAAGAATTTATCTGATAATATTTACCACAATAAAAATATTAATATTTACCACAATGAGACATAAAATATGTTCGATTAATTTTCCTATGTACACATTAATTTTTTATTGTGGTAAATATTAATAAGAGAAACTCATAAAATTCTGCCACATTGTCTCGCCATCTAAGAGAAAATTCTCTCCGTGTATAAATAATAATACATAATAAAGTAAATATAGGGGGATATTTTTTTCAAGAATATATATATATATATATATATTCGATATATTTATTATAGAACATATATAAAAGTGCTATGTTACAAAAGATGCGTGCTCTTCTAAATAATACATTTGTCGCAATAAATCGTCTCCTGCGATCTTAATTAAACCGGCGTGTTAATCTTCGCACTGTATTTTCCATGCACGATGATTAACGATGCAACAACGGCCTTTTTGACATTTAACTTCGCGCGCACCTGCCTTCTGTAACGTCATAGTAATTTATTAATGCCGTTACGGCGCCTTAATTATCCCGCGGAGAGTAGAATTCTGTGAATCCGTGAATATATCACGGTTCTCTTCGGTGGAAGAAACCAGATCCACTTTTCCCTCGTCGCAATTCAATATGGCAAAGAATATCGCTGCTGTAGGATTGTCAGAGACGAAAACTCTCTCTCTCTCTCTCTCTTCCGCATAAAGGCTGCTCTCTTTTCAGAGCTGTCGCACTTTCTTCCCGCCGAAACGGAATTACGGTCCGGCGCCTTTTCGACGATGTAATCTCAAGCAGATTAACATATACCCCTGAATCTGTCTGCGCACCTTGGCTTTCCGCGCGAAGAAAGAAACCCGAGGCGAATGGATTGTGGTGAGAGCAAGCTCGTGGAATGAATAAAACCAAGACGGCGGAGCATGCTGCAAGAAACGGCTCCTGCGATTGCCGAGGATTTTTCGCTCGGTCGTCGTCGTCGTCCATCGAAAGAGCGATCCCGGCTTGTATAATGAACCACAATGGTGTTTTCCCTCAAAAGCGTTTTCCGCTCGCTCGACAATAGACTTGCCGTCAGGCCACGGATATGCTTGTGTATGTCTCGCATAATATGTTAATATCACTTCTTTACGCGAGTGTGTGTGTGTGTGTGTGTGTGTGTGTTATTATATAGTTGAACAATTTTTGTTCAATTTAACAGATATCGCATGTCCCAAACGGTCCACAGAAATTTTTATGTTAATTTCACATAATATGGATATGTTAAATGGAGACACTAATATTGTGCGTTAATATTTTAATACAAAATAAATGCAAAACTTCAAATAATTTGAAATAAATTTTGTGTAAAATTAACATACTTTTAATGTAAAAATTAACAAAAAATATGTTAATTTTAGATTTTATCATCCCCACTTATATTATAAAATAGAAAATCAACATTTTTTTCTGTAAATTTTAACAGATAAACCTTATCACTAATAAATCAGAACATATTTATCGTATAAAATTAAAAATAGATATACATTGTGTTATTTTTACATTTTTTTAGTTGTTTTAATAATTTAACATTTAAGTTCAATTAACGGAACAGTAATATGTTAAATTAACACATAAATGTTAAATATTTAACACCAAAATTTTAACGGGAACCGGTTTTAACAAAAAGACAAATTTTTCTATATACAGAAAGAAAAATCAAAGAACAAATTTTTCGGAAAACACAATTGCAAAAAAAAGTACGCGATATGTTGGACACATTATGTATAATTAAGAATATAATTTTTCTCATTAATGCATTCGATGCATATTATTGCATGAAATAACAGGGAATAATATCAATTTCTCTATCAGATTTTATTCGCGTGTTAATACGCATCTTTATATATAGTGTTGTTCATCATAATTAGAGAACACGTTATGTTGCGCTCATTAACGAGGGCTGAATATAAGATTACAAGTGTTACGGTCCTTTATACTAACGATATAGTTTTAATTGATGCGCGTGAAGGATAGCATCATCGACGATAGAGACTGTTTACATGCGTGACTGCGGCTACGTTTAATTAATAAAATCATCCTAATCGCCGTGGGGCCTTTTCGCCGGCGACTATATCTCGAACATCTCGCTATCCCCTGTGCACTCGGATTTTCACCCCTTAATCACTTTATAATCAGCGCGCTGAGGAGGCCAAGGCGAACAGCGAAAGCGGTTTTCAGCAAACCGCTATTATGTTTCCAAAGGCGTCGTTAATGAGGATAAAATGTTCTGCGGAACTTTATGCCACTTCCGCTCCCGAATCCCTCCGTATTTAATGCTTCGATCAAGACATCTTTTTTTTTTCGTGTAAACCGTGATTAAAACGTACAGTGTGAAATTCCGAAAAATCGTAATCCCTCGCGAGATTCTCCCCAGAGAGAGAGAAAGAGAGAGAAGTGCGAGGGATAACGTTAAAAAATGTCATTTTTTTCCGAAACATTGAAGGGTGACGCGAAATCCCGAGAACTCACAATGTCAAAATGAAGGATCTGGTGAAATATCCCGAAAACAGTATATGAGAGAATATCCGTATACGAATTGAAATAAAAAAAAATGAAAATTCAGGATTAAACATTTTTGAGGACTTAGTAGATATTCATTCGATTTCAATATCGCGAAACTTTGCGCGCGCTCTCAAATAATTGCGCATAGAAACAATATTTCGGCACGATGAAGTTTCGCAATGCATTCACTGTTGTGCACGTTGTGTGCATACACTTTTTTTTTCCATTTCTCGTTTCCCCTCGGATTTTGCGTTCCGCATCGTCGCGGACATCGACGGTCCCGAAAGTTATTTAGCGATTGTTACACGAAAAATGCATGGAGAAGGTACCGATTTTGCAAATGACAGAATTTTAGCGCGGCTTGGAAATCTGTTTTTTCTCTTTTTTGCATAATACAAATTCCCACTCGTTTATCCGGTGTTCGCGCCGAATGTGAGACGAGTAAAGGGTGTCGGCGCGAGTTTCGCGAGGAGAGACTCGGATGCGAGTGGAAAATTTTTTAATTTACTCCGGCGGATTTGCGCAACGTTATCTCAGGATATTCTGTAACGAGCGTTATACACCGGGATATAGCGCACACACGTGCACGGACAATGTGGGGTTCTCCTCTGTGGATGAAAGCCTATTCGCTTCTTTTCTGCTCCACGAAAGGCTGGGGGTGACACGAGCCTTGCACGAAATGAGGCTGGAGGAATCCGATTTTCTAGTGTTCGAGCCGCTCGGGCGGAAAATGACGTACAGAACTATTTCCGCGGAAACGATCCGTTCCCAACTGACAGTCTTCCTTTCTTACCCTTTCCTTTCCTTCTCTCTTAATGGAAATAATTACGGCCTGTTCATTGTTCGCGCCATTCAAAAGGTGGGATCTAATTTATCGAAAGCGAGCTTGTGTGAGAAAACGTTTCAAAAAAACGAGAAAAACGAACAAATTTCCAGTTTTAATACTGCCGCGGGAAAACAGCATATGTACTGTAGAATGGAGTACAATAGAAAACAAATTTAAAAATATAAATCAATTAAACATTTTTTCATTTGATGAAATCAAATTAAAAAAAGGACTGCTAAAATAATTATGTATGTATAAAGATAAATATAACGTGATGTTTTTTGTAAAAGATTATTAGATCGAAATTGAAATGTTAAGCAAACATGTATTTTATTTATTTTTAATCATTGTAATTAACCCATAACAATTTATGTTGCTCGTTAATACATTTGGGAAGGTTAAAATAATGAGATACGAAATGGTGAGATTTGAAAAGTATGGAATTTCATTTTAACTACAAAATTTAACCATGGCAAAATCGAACCATGAGCAACAAAGTTTCCCCATTAATTTCTTCATGCTCGTACTTCGAGGTAATTAATTAGAATTATGAGAAAAGTTTATGAAGCACCTGTTACGTGTTTAGAGCAGTTTCTTCAGAATCTTGGCGAATACTATTCGAATATTTCAACATCGACACGCTCGCAGCATCCACATGATTGTAATAATACCGCTAATGGACCAGATGATGTTTTGGTTAATATTCAGCATGAAATTCAATTTATATTTGTACATTCAAATAATTCGTCTTTTATCTACCATTATATATTTTTATCAAATATTCTATATTTTTTAAATAATATTAAATGTAGACTTTACTAAAATTTTTAATTTGTGTCACATAAACACGATATTAAAAATTACATTTATTAAATAAATACATTTTCCCATTTGTAATTTTATTCGTATAGAATTTTATGCATTAATATAGAATTTTACGCACATACATATATATATATATATATAATATTTGATACATTATATAGGTATGATATAATATCTCAAAATATTAAAAGAAAAAGAGAGAGCGCAACAGAGTAATCATCTTTTCTTTAGAATTTGTCAATAGAGCACGACATAATATTATCGGCGATAATTACGAGGAGGAGAGACTACTTTTAATCACTGCTCGTCTATGCGGTAATCCGAAGGTGCGGCCAATCTCTTCCAGGAAAGCCACGATGACCCCTAATTGGCCACATTATTAAAATCGCATTTTCGTGATCCCAGCTGCGAGGGATCGTCCCTGCTGAGGATCGTACAGGCGCGATGAAGTTTCCTCGTAAAATAAATCACGCCATCCCATCGCGGTAATTCGGCGCAGCCGCTCTGCTGCCTTACCGGTAATATTGGATATTTTCTTAATGGCGAAACTTCTACGGCCTCCCCTCGAATCCAGTTCATCCTCGTGAATTCCCTGATAAATCGGTACATGATTCCCGGCCATTTCGATGGTCTCTCCTCCTCTCGCGCTTACCCTTCTGTTTCATTTTCCATCTCTCATTTATATTGACGTTTATTTTGGCGCGTGAAGAAAGTATCGAACTTGCGTAAACTGCCCTAAATATATATACAATTACTTTATAATTACTTTATAGAGATTTTTTTATTCTCATTTCAGCCACTGTACGAGTGATTACATCGCTATTTATTCGGGTCCGACCACGTCAAGCCCGTTGCTGAAGATGCTCTGCGGCAAGGAGAAGGCAGCATTGGTACATGACGGTCAAGAACTCCTCGTCGAGTTCAGGTGAAAACGCTATTTTTTTATCAGAATATTAAACAATTGATTTTATTGCGAATTCTTATTTAATTTAAATTTTTTTTTTTTTTTTTAATTTATCTTTTTTTACAGAACTGGTCCCGAGGTATCACCTTTCGATTACAATGGTTTTGTCGCGGTACTGAATTTCATAGAAATGACGACGGAAGCTCCAACAACGATTGCTGTTGAAAGCACAAATAAAAGCGGTAAGTAATTTTTTATTTAAAAATTCTTGCAGTACGTAATTCTCAATAATAATATATTTTTATTTCTCTTTTAATTTATAAAGTAGATGATATGTATTATTAAAAATTGTCAGGATCACAATTTTTTGGTTTCTATTCTTATTTTATATTATATGGAAACAGCATTATATCGAAATTCACTTGATCTTCCACAGTTGAAATAATATAATATTTATTTCTTCGTAAATTATATTTTACTTTATAAAGTAGATTATAGATTATTAAAAATTGTCAAGATTAATTTATTGAATTCTAATTTCTATTTTAATTTTATGGAATCAGCATTATCGAAGTTCACTGGACCCTCTAATCTTCCACAGTTAAAATGATATAATATTTATTTTATTGTATTATTAAAAATATCATTGAAAATAGATTATTGCATTATTAAAAATTGTTCGGATCAATTCTTTGAATTCTGATTTCTATTCCAATTTTATGTCATATGGAAACAGCATTATCGAAGTCCACTCGACTGTCTAATCTTCAATTAAAATGATATAATATTTATTTTGTCATAAATTCGATTTTAATTTATAAAATAAATTATTGCATGATTAAAAATTGTCAGAATCAATTTTTTGAATCCTGATTTTTATGCTAATTTTATATGAAATGGAAGCAGCAGCATCGAAGTTTACTCGAATCTCTAATCTGCCGTAGTTGAAATGATGAAGTCCGGTAGCTATAACAACCGCGACTTACACGATCACCGCAAGGATCAAGGTGCCGTGATCAACAGTTGCGACCTCGAGGTGAGCGGTGAGAAGGTACGGGCAGGTCACCACGACACCAGGGGCAAGCCAAAGTCCACGACATGCAGACTCGTGTTGCGTGGCCGCGCTTACGACACGGGACACGTCTCCTTAGCCAGTTACAACCTCAGGTAACCTCGTTTTCAACCTGCCATCTACGAGTCTTGGAAGAAGTACGTCGAAACGCACGTGCGATCGCGGTCGAACCGATCGGTATCGGAGGGATGAGAAGCTCTGTATCCTCTGTATCGACGTGTTTCTCCGCCAATCGCGTCGATTCGGGGAAAACTACGGTCACGTAACGACGAGGTTACGGTGCGATGGGTTGCAGTACGAAATTACATTTTGTGTTTGTTTACCGATTGTTTTCAATCGCGTTTTTCAATCTCTACAAATTCGCGGCGAGTTACGATATATATAACGTCTGAATAGCGATAGTCGAAAAATTGTCAACACACGGTTTGCGTTGTTGATTAATCCATCGGGCGTAAGCTTCGATATCAATTGCAAGCGCGCTTTCATATATTTGAAAAATAATACTTAATATAAAAGTCATATCTGTTCAGCTCCCTTCTACAAAATAAAAAAAATATTGCGGAATAAGAAGTTATTTAAACACTTTCGAACAACAAAAATATTAAAATTTTGATTAAAAAATAAGAAATAAGGATTTTCATTTTTATTAGGAAAGAATGAGAGTTAACATCAGCTCCGGATAACGATAAGCTCAAAAGGTTTATCTTGGTAAGAAGACCGGCTGAGAACAGGAATGATTAATTAGAAAGAAATATTTTCATCGGCTCTCAATATTAAAATATAAATATAATTTTTTTTTTAAATCGTCCAACAGAGCCAAAGCACGAAAAATTAATTATTCGGAACTGTATCTCTTGGTTTGAGATCACTAAGTTCCATATATAAATTAATCTCAAAACTTACATACGGAGAAATAGGGATTATTAATCATAACACGATGCTTTAATTAATGGAATGTCGTAAAGTGTTAAAATATTTTAAGAGAAAATATCTCAAAATATCTCTGAAACATCTGTATAGCGAGTGACTAGCTATTTCTCCGATCGTTACGTCTGCGCAGCGGGATTTTTATTTCACAGTTAACGCGGAAAGGCAAGTTGCGTAACTTATCGGAACGCGAGACCAGAAAGAAGCCACCCTGAGGCTCGTCGCGGAAAGTAGCGTTAAATCACGTAGGGTGGCAACGGGGAGAGAAGACACGTCGCATTTCACGTCCGTATCCCGGAGATTTTCAATTATTATGTGAGACGCCGGCGACATGCGAATCGCGTATCCGCGTCTTACGGAGATTGTGTTCCATCAGGAAATAGAACACGCTGCGGGAAAAAGATGAAATCATCACCCCCGGAACCGATAACGATGACGATCTCGTCGGCGACTCGTATCTCTGACACCTTCTCGGCATTGTTCCTATGTCTCCAAAGCCATGGATTTATATATATATATATATATATATATATATATATAACTCTTGATATAAACTGAAGGTATGCCGCGCACGAGACGCAAAAGGAGGGCTTTATTGAAGGTAGCATGAATTTTGAACGAAATATTGTAAATCCGGGCGCCAGGTGAACCGAGAAAATATCTCCTAGCATGGGGGGAATATCGCTTCGTCCGCCGACCAATCGCGTGTACATTTCTCTTCCTCTTTTACTCATTTTCATGCTGGTTGCGGGAGCAAGAGCGCGTAATAGCGGCATCGGTGTCGGATTATCGCGGCTTTTCAGCCTTCTTGCTACATCTCTGAGGCGATTAGAGGAAAACGGAAACGCAACGTTCGAATATACGACGGTTCGAACGATACATTTACGGATTATCTCGGGACAGCGGACGCGCAACATCTCTTCATCTTCTTCAAAATTAAAGAGGAAATTAATAAGCACAAATATAGATCGACATATTTAATTTATTTTTTTGAAAACTCGATAAAATTGATTTCAAAATAATTTTTACAATTAAAATGTATTTATATAATCAACGAAAAATTAATTTTTGTAGACGCAAAAGACATTGCAGTAGGCTCGATAGCCGATATACATATAGATATATATTGTATATTTATTTGGAGAGCCGAATTATATATATTCTTAATATTGTTTGTTTACGCCTTGGCTGAAAATACGGCGTTATTTAGTTACAAAGGCAGAGAGAAGTATTGTTTCGTAAGTGTCTGAATAGCTCAGTTGGAAGAGCAGTCGCCCGGCAAGCGAAAGGTCTCGGGTTCGATTCCCGATTCAGCCGACTTTCGGACCGATATTTTTCTCGCTTTATACAGACGGGTTAATAAAGGGGTAACATAGGAATTAGAAATCCAAACCAAGGATACCTATTCCTAGGCTCTACAGCCGATATTATATTGTATGGATTATATTGTGTAAAAATATATTGTATAGATATACGATATATTGTGTAAAAATACATTTGTGTGTTCTTTCTAAAAAAAAAATTGTTCAAGCGAGGATTTACGGTCGAGAGATAGATATTAAATTTCCTTATCGGCGCTGCAGAGATGACGAATTTCTGCGACGCGCGATCCATCATAAAATCCATATGACTGGTAGATATACATGTTCCCGTTATCGATTTTACAGTGCGCAGTCCTGCCAATCGGCGATCGAGATATTCGACGGTTCGCCGGAGAGCGGGATGCTGGATACCGCCAACTCTTTGGAGAGGATCTGCAGCCCGGCACAGTGGTTCCCACGGGAACTCGCGGGTCAGGATAAGTAAGTGGATTCTCCCTCAGTAGTTATTAGAGCAGTCATTAGAGATGTACTATCGTACACGATTTATCGGTGATGCATTGTAATTGTGGTAAATTTGTGGGCGGATTTCTCTCTCTCGCAATGCGCGCGCGTTGTGGCTTAAATCTGTAGAGAACTGGTTAAGTCTCCTTAGAACCCTCGGCATCAAAATGGAGATTAGCTTCTAACAGAAATGCGAGCGCAAATCGATTAAGGACGCAACTATTCTACTAGGACACGCTAATCCATACACGAATTTCGTCGCAAAATTTCTTCTTATTAATCCCCTCTTATGCTTTTCATAATTTCTTCTTTGTATTTTTAAAACCGCTCGTTCTCGGTTCAGAAGGATCCTAGCGAGCTGTGGTTTGCAGCATATGAAAGTTTTGAGTGACAGCTTCTATTAAAATTTAAACCCAATCAGTATTCGTATTTTCATTTTTTGTTAGGAACATCATATCTACAATATTTATTTTACTCATTTATTTTATATATCCCAGCTAAGGATCACGCGTTTGAAAGGAACGCGCTAGACAAATACAAGGAGCTTTGAGAAACGAACCTTTGACAACGATAAATCATTACACACGCTGTGAAAAAATATGTAATATATTACATAAAAATATGTAAAATTACGTAAATAATAAATGTAAAATTACACGATAAATAATAGAAATGTTTACCTTTTTATTATTTATCATGTAATTTTACATATTTTTTACAGTGCAAAATATAATGATATATTAGTATTAAATGTTGAAATGTGGAATGACATATTAATACTAAATATGAGAGGATTGGCTTCGCGGAATTTTTTCCGCATTAATGATCTTCTTACATCGACTGAAGTCTTTTCTCCGCATACGTATTATTTATTTTCTCGGACACGTATTGCGAGACAAGAATTGACGCGCAAAATAGGTACCAAGCCCGTTGTAACGTCGATGAGAAGCAGCGCGAGATCATCGGCACGTAATCATAAAACAGATCCCTGGCAGATCCATCATCCGTCTCCATCCGGGAGCTGAAGCTAGACGCGGCATGCAAAAGCGATACCTCATACTCATCTCGCCGGAAGTCAAAGTATGAAAGATGACTGCGCTAGACTCCCGCACACGCTGTGCATTCCACGGTTACGAGGCCATTTATGGCGGAGTACATATTCGAATGAAAAGGTGTCACAGAATGCGCGCTGAATGGTGGTTATCTGAAATCGTTCGCTCGTTGCTGCAGCATTACGGAAGTCTCGGTGCAGTTATTCATGCGGTATCTCGAGGAAGCGATGCGCTCCTCGATTTTCTTTGATGAATTTTTCAACAAGAAAAATCTTACGCTAGAGTATCAATTTTACTTTGATCTTATGTTAACTTTTTACTCTTGCACATTGAACGTCAGAGTTATTAGTTTTACCAAGAAGCTTTTATTCCTCACTTCTTTCGGATAATTACAAAAGCTCTATCAATTATCAATATTATATTATATTATATTATATTTTTCTCTTTGCTATAATTTATATTAGAGATATATTACATAATATATTTATTGTAATATATAATTTATTAATTCTCGATTTTATTTTAGTCATTATGCAACTTTGGCGAGAGACACGTGTATTTTACAGACATGATGTTCTCGTGGGTCAATAATACTACAGCCGAAGTTGTAACTATTTCATTTTACCCCAGCCATTTCCAGTTATATTTAATTCCACAATATTGTCACAAGACGCATGTATCTATAAAAGAGCGTAACAAAATTTTATAGCATAAACTCTCTCTCTCTCTTTTTCTCTCTGGAGCAGCTGGTCGGGCATATGTAGTTTTGTTCGTAACGTTCCTGCGATAGCATGACTTTTACGATAGAAGAATCTTTTGATTACATAGTAAACTTTTTCGTTTGATTAAATAACTTTAGAAAAATGCATGAGAACCGCATATATTGATATTCCGCGAACATTAATATTCTGCAAAAACAATTGTTAGTTTTTGTAACGTTTATTCAATTTTCATTTACTCTGCGTTAGCTTGCATTTTTGTTTGATTTTTCTATAAAAGTTTGCGATGTCCTCCACTAAAAATATATAGTATATGTATATATATTACATAATAAAATTTTGTTATCAACATACGTTTATAGATGTAATATTTGACAATCGCGCTTTGCACAGTTGTTTTATGAAAACGCGATTCTTTCGATCTTAAAAATTTGATTTCACGTAAAATTGTGTATTATATGATAAGAAACACGTAAACCGCGTAACTTTATGCTGTTCAATGACGCGTTGCCTTCATTCAAAGGAAAATGGACTCTTTGTCGTTTGCGTGCCGTTTATGCGATACAAATCCCTGTGCACGACAGGACCAGTTTTCACCATGAAATGCGCGTTTTATGGACGCGGTTCTTTCGACGTAAACATTTAATGCCGATCGATTTACTGGCACGAATAATAATAAATGCGAGCATGAGCCGGGTGTTGATAGAATACCGGCTAATCCGTTTAATATCCCTCTCTTCCCTTTTCTCTGTCAAATTTATGACTTTCAGCGTTTGATAACAAAATGCTATCACATTCCACGAATTAGGTGTCTATAAAAGTAATAATTTTAAACATTGAAACTTGAACCGTCAAATAAATGTTTATTTGGCAGAAACAAATGGCACGTAAGTAGAATAAAACTAAGTAAATTAATAAAAGTGAATATTGCTGAAACGAAATATACAATTAAAATTAGGGATGTGCCGGATAATAAAATTACCGGATACCGGATATCGGATATCCGGTAATAATATAAAACCGGATACCGGATATCCGGCCGGATATCCGGTATTATAAATATTCGGCCGGATACCGGATATTTACCGGATATCCGGTACTAATAAGTAATAATTTCTAACAGTGAAAATATTTATTTAAACACGTGTGAACCAGACTTAATATTTATTATACCATATATCATGTGTTTAGAGTAAATTTAAAATGCCAGTATAATGTATTTACTATTTATAGTATTTATTCGACATTACTCACAAATCACAATCATAATCATAATCAAAATTTAATATTAATAAATTTTTCATGATGAATAATAACATGTCAGCGTTTTCTGGTGACAATCTATTTCGATTATCGGAATAAACCAATTTTCCTGCACTGAAAAGTCTTTCTGAATGCACGGAGGATGGTGGAGCGCTTAAGTATTTCAAAACTAAAGTTTTGAGATTAGGGTATTCTAAAATATGAGTCTTCCACCATGTTAAGGGATCCTCATCTCTCGGTGACAGAGGTAGCATCAGGTATTTTGATAACTCTGCATTATAAACTGCAGCTTTCTTTTTGCTTCTGTCACTGGGTTGTCTTGTAAAAGTTGTTTGACTTGATGAATCCTCAAAACGCGCATATGCGTATGTGCGTGCGTCCGTCCGTTTCTCGTTTCGTCTCTATTTCCTTTATAGAGTTATCAAAATACCTGACGCTACCTCTGTCACTGAGAGATGAGGATCCCTTAACATGGTGGAAGACTCATATTTTAGAATACCCTAAACTTTTCACTGATATTAGAAATTATTTAGAATCTCGATTCTCGAATTCTGCATCAATTTTCAAAGTTTAATGATATCCGGCTATCCGGCCGGATACTAATAAAGGGCCGGATAGGCCGGATACCGGATTCTTACCGGATATCCGGCACATCCCTAATTAAAATATTATAGAAATCTGTGAAATATAATATTAAAATTATTATAAAAAACATGTGCGAATATTACGTCGAGATTCTTAAATTTTTTATTCTATGTTGTCATTATATAATAATTTACTACAGATATTTTTATTCGTTATACGTGCTGTTTCCAGTAAAGTCGAGATATCGATGTAAGAATGAGATGCTTGATAAAAATTCAAGAGAGGTAGAATAGAGGTCATATCAAATGAAAAACGTGACGAGAAAGATATTTGAAGGAAGATTTTTAGCCATACATATTGAGCAGCGACGTAGAGAGAGAGAGAGAGAACCACACACACATGTGAATAGAACGAATTACATTTCTGGAATTTTTAAACCGTTAAATTTTTCTTTCCCGAAACTCTTATTCCGACAATTATTCGATCAGATATCACGAGATGTCTTTCATCCATTTAAATTATGAACAATGTCCTAAAATGCAACTCCAAAAGACAATAAAATTGCACGTTTATATAAAAGAAAAAATGAAGCTCATTATTAGACCTCTGAAGAAAAGAGATTCAAAGCGTACTTGTGTCCGCTGTTTGTATCCGTCTATGCACAAGTTTGCTTTGGCAGAAACTTCGATGCCGAAGCCTCCAGAGACGAGATTGACCACTCGGTCGTGGAAACAGACCGAGAGAGAGTCGAGTGACGACAAACAAAGGTATCGCATGATTCCTCCCGAGGCTGCAAACCGGCGGTGACCCGCGAACTATAGGATTCCGGCCGACCGAGCGCGGAGAAAGAAAAAGGAAGAGCGAGCGAGATGGTCCTATATATAGTTCGTCGTCCTGCAACAGCCAACGGCTCGCATGCATTATGCAAGTCGTGGGAAATAGACAGACGTGAAATGTCTGTCGCGCGGACACGCTGCATCGGAGGTGAACTTGATGCGACCGGCGCAAAAAGAACGAGAACTGACCGACGAATGGCCAAACGAGCGATGCGCGAGCTAGAGATTTCCCAGAAGAGATTTCGAAACGCCGCCACCCTGCTCGAACGCCGATATGTCGAGCACCGATCGATTCGGACTCTGGGGCTTACTCGCTCTCTCTCTCTCTCTCTCTCTCGCTCTCTCTCTCTCTCTCTCTCTCTCTCTCTCTGGAAATATTATGATCACGCCGCTCGCGCATATGTCTTGCAATTTGAGAAATCTCTGAGTGGATTTGAAGAAGAGTGCAAGTCTGATTCTTATTTTAAAGTGAACTTCTCTTGATGAATGCAGGAGAATCTTGCAATTATTAAATATTATACAGGGTCCCATAGGAAATTTCTGAAACTAATCAGCTGTCATCTTTTAATGCAGTTATTGAGAAAAAAAAAAGTTGCGGCGGGAAAAGGAAAGTCTATAGTTTTTAATGGATTTTTATATAAAATGTTTGTATTAGTTTATTTTATTAAAAAAAAATAATGGAAAAAGTGCTAATAATCACATACGTAAATTAATGATAAATATTTTCAAAGTGCGCACCATTTGAATTTGTACAAAATTCTGTTCTTTTATGAAAACTTGTAAAAACTTTTTCTAACATGTCATTTTTAATGTTATTGACGATCTTTTTAATAGCTGCTATTAAATCTGGCACTGTTGAACATATTTATCATTAGTTTATGTGATTTTATATAATTATTAGCACTTTTTATTATTTGTTGTCAATAAAATACACTAATATACAAACATTTTATTTATGTCTATTAAAAACTGCAGACTTTCCTCTTTTCACCACAATTTTTACTTTTCTCAATAATTGCATGCATTAAAAAATGACAGCTGATTAGTTTTAACAATTTCCTATGGAAAACTGTAAAAATATATAAACCATTTGATTACGATTCATTTTCATACACTAAAAAAAAATTAATAATTATGTATTTCAATAATGCCTAATAAATTATTTTTTTGAAGTAATTAAATATTTGTTTTGAAAAGGATTTTCTTATATCAAATAAATATATTTCACATCAAATTACAATATTATTAATTTCAAATAAATTATTTATTAGGCTGTATTAAAATAAATACTTATTCAAATTCAATAATTCAAAAAATTTTTTTCAGTATTCAAAGTACTTTGACACTTCTCTGCGAGCGATTGCAGAATAACTAACATTTGCGCTTTGCTAGGATGGGCCTAAAAAAAATTACACACGCTACATCGTCGGTTCCGACCTTCCTAAAACAGAGGAAAAATTTTTTCTAATTTTCGACAAGAAGGATATTCATCGTGCGCGCGTTTTGCCTAGCGCCATCTTGCTGACGCCATTCTGACAGTTTTTAATCTATTTTAATTTCTAACGTTTGCCAGCCGGTCCCGAGACGATTTATGCTTGGCAGCGACAGCAGGCTCGACCGGATGCAGCGTACGTACGTACGTGCCTATGGGACCGCCGCGTGTTTTATGTCGACTAATCTCGTAAAAATTCATGCGAAATAACGCCCGTGCTTCATCCGCCTCGCACGTTCTCCACTCCCTCTCCTTCTCTTTTCCTTTCCACTCGTGGCTGCTTGCAACCGGGCACGTATTCTGCCGAATTTCCGGCCTGCGCCTTCCGTCTTTTGCGATACTCTCGAAACGGTATTAAAGCAATACAAAATAAAACTAGCTTCACAAGGGTTTGCAAATGAAAGTTTGGCAAAGCTTCGAGTTTCTGCCATATCGAGAAATGTAAAGAAAATCCGGCGCAGTATTTAGAATTCGAGAATGAAAACGTTGAATTCTTGATTTAACGTTTCAGAAAAATTTAATGAGAAAAAGCGGAGAAATACTGTATCTCTGTGAAATATAAAAGCACGGAAGATATCAAAATTCAAGAATCGATTACGTACGTGTCAGCGATCTACGTATCACGTTTTTGTAAACGACACTTATTGGAAACAAAGAGTTGAAAGGGTCTAATTGGCATTGCGATTATTTAAGTGAATTGCCTGGAGCGCGCTCTATTTAATCTCTGTCCGTGCATGGATACCGGATACATTGAGGATTAATCCAGAATAGCCATCAAGTAATTTAATCTTCATGCACGCCATATGCCCAACTAAAAGCCACCCCCTGTCGGGAGCAGGCAATAAACCGACACAGATCATCCGTATCGAGCTGTCACTTTATCTCGCGCTCTGATAAAGTAAACTATCATTTAGGGGAGAAATCTTGTGGTCCATTTTGGAGATAATTATGTCGGTTTGTAATACGGTTTAATAACACGTGCATCTATAACTTATGTGCATTATACCCAATGCAAGTTTGAGAAAATTGCCTACACATTTCTACAAATGTATTGTAGATTTAAAATTTTTTATTTGTCAAGTCACGGTTGCCTTTTAATTTTTTTACTTCCGTTTAATGACAGTTTTATTTTAACGTTTAAGGGATTCTAAACGTCCTTGAGAAGTCTGTGGATTTAGTCCTGTTTTATCGACAAAATGTGAGGTTAGATTCAATTATAAATCTATTTATTGGCTATACGGATTGTTTTTTATCTAAAATTAGAGCGTTTTCACAATTCTTAATATTAATACTTTAATTTGTACAGGAAAAAGATTTATCAATTGGTATAGTCTCATATATTTAGCATGAATTATTTTTCTTCATAATTCTGCAACCTTGATATATGAGACTATACAGATTGATCTTTTTTCTGTAAAAATTAAAGTATTAATAGTAACAAATGTGGAAGCGCTCTAATTCCAGGTAAAAACAATTCGTATAGCCAATAAATAGATTTATAGTTTCTCTAACCTCACATTTTGTCGATAAAACAGGACTGAATCTCAAGAACGTTTAGGATCCCCTTAATCGATCTTGATTTTTTAGTTGTACAGCAGAAAATATTAACCAAAAAAGAGATATGATTCGCTTCCGATGGATGGTCTCGATAAATTTATCTATAGAGACGTCAAAAACGTCAAAAACTAACTTTGGACGCCTCAGACTGTCAGATCGTTTGTCACGCGGAAAAGTTGCTGCGGTGTTAGAAAGTCGACGACGTAACTCCGAGCACTCATTCGAGCGACAAAGGGCCAGTCCTCCTCCCGTGATACCGCAGGGTGGCGAAGCAAAGGGCCTCCGATTTATCTTGCAAAACTAATTCATAGGCAATTCTCGCGCCGACGCGACGGACTATCGGAAGGCGATTCCCAAGACGTCCATTTACAACTTTGCCCGGAGAAAATAGAGAGTCTTACATGCAAGATTTACATCCCGTTTTGTCTCGGGCTCTCGTGCAACTTCCGGTGGAGCACCCTTTCGCGTCCTTTCCTCTCGCCTCCTCCTTCGCGAGATAATGGTGAATTAATAATTCACGTTCGAAGAGTTTCCGCGTGTCCCAAATACATCTCCAGCGAAAAGTATCATGAATCCTTCACGGTGCGTGTGAGTACATATGTAACGTACGTTACAGGCGGAAATCGGATCGATCATTATTCATAGAACGATCCCGGCAAACGCAATTTCCTTTATAAATTGTATATAATTGTGCGGGGCAAAAGTTCAACTCCGTTGGGTCATAAGATAAATTTTATATAATCTCGGATAAGAGATCAGTGGTCCTTTGGGAGACAGCTAAACTTAATTTTTTATATTCAATTATTCGTAAAACTTTTTAATTAATCGTAAACAGACCATAGTTTATATAAACTAAAATTTAAATTTTGATACCTGTTCAAGCATTTTGTTTGTTAGCAAATATTTAAATACCAACTAACATCTACGATCAGTGTTTGCTGTTATCTAAATAAAGTTATATAAACACGGAAAAAACGAATTAGCTACCATAGCTAAATTTTAGCTGTCCATATATTACAACCTGAAATTTAGTTATCGTGCCTAAATTTTAGCTATGGTAACTAATATTTTTTAGCCATAGCTTAACGGAGAATGTTATAGCTAAAAAATATTAGTTGTCATAACTAAAATTTAAGCATGATAACTAAATTTCATGTGTAATATATGGACAGCTAAAATTTAGCTATGGTAGCTAATTTTTTTCCGTGAATGATCATCTAGATGAAATTTTGGCGTCATCTTATCTTTATATATATAATAAAAATATGTATTATTTATATCTGCATCTTAGATAAGAAAAAAATATATTATTTTTTATTAAATTATCTAGAATAATTTTCAGATAATTTTGGATTAGAATCATAGCACATAAAAATACTTAAACAGTAGTAGAACTTCACAACAGTAAGTAATAAAAATTTATAAGTAAAAATATGAATACATATATTTTTATATCCCTTTTACAATTTACATTTTATTATAACTGTGTTTACATAAGCAACCTTAAAAGTTATTATCTAGAAAATTATCTAGATGAATCGCCATATAATCTTTTATCTAGATATATTTAAAACAAAATTATCTTTATCTTATCTATAATTGTAAGCTAAATTTACATATTTTTATCTTATATCTTCATTTAGCTAATTTCAAAATCATCTAAGCACAACACTGTCTACGGTATAAAAAGATTAAAATGTGCCGTCAATTAGCCATCGTCTTTCGATTTACCGAGAATTTATTCCGCTGTGAAAACCGAGCAGAAATCGCTTTCGCGCGGTAAAAACGTAAAAAAAAAAAAAGAAATCCTCGGGCGTCGACACTGGAAGCTGAAAACGCGTAAATAACACTCTTTTAATTCTTCCAGGTACGTCGAGCCAAAGCGTTACTCGTCCAATGGTCGGGACATGACGGTGGTTTTAAGGCGCGCCTCAAACAGCCCCACTGACGAGGAGTATATGGAGGTCTCGTATTACTTCCACGACGGTGAGTGTGTGTACATCTCGTATCGTAAAATAAAGGGAAAAAAAAAAGAAAAAGTTGAGAATGTCATCAGGTGAGAACGAACGTGCCGCGGTTCGTCGCTCGGACCAGGGAGCGAAATAAACCGGCCGCATGCCAGAAATTGGATTATGACGTGCGCCGTCGCTGCGCAATCAAGTCTGCCGCGTGTAAGCGCCGCGAAATCGCGAAAAACCTCGTCAACTTTTTTTCGCACCGGTGCTCTATCGCCCTCGGTGCGCGATTTTATTTTTTTCCCTTTTCCTTTTTTTTTTCTGTTCGTCGCGAGTTACGAGCGCAATCGCGTTCTTTACGCGCTTCCGAGAAAAGCTTCTTAGTTTTATGTCTCCGAGTGAAAGTTTGGAAAAGAGATCACGCAATAAAATTTATCCCATGATGAGATGTTTCTCAGAAACTTTTTCGAGGACTGAAAGTCTCTTGAAAAATCGTATTTTCCATTTTTTTTTAAATTATAATAAATGGCACGTTTTTTTATTTTCATTTAATAGTGCGCAATTTTATCGACAAGTATCTGTTCCTTTATATAAAAGGCGATGATATTTACTCGATCGTATCAACATCGTTCTCATAATCGGTTCAATTCGCTATTATCCTCAAACTAATTCGAATCGAGTTTTTGCCGAATCTCTCTCCCGGATTCTCGAATAAATCGCAGCGTATCCAAACCACCAATTACGAGTAACTAATCACCGTAAATACGCCCTGGCATATCGATGTCAAAGCCTCGGTTACCCTTAATCGGATGAACATAGGCACGTCCAGACGGTAATCTTGAAATTCGCTTGGCACACGGCCGAGGATTCTGGTTGGTCGCCGGAGGACACATTCGCAATATCGACGTGTCCGTACCCGCAAAAACACCGTTTCGTGCTTAATCCCGTTTCAAAGATTAGATTTAACCCCGATTAAGTAGCTACGACCTTTCCTTGGGTCGGGCAATTCGGGAGATTAAAATGAGACTCCAGGTGTATTACGCACTCATATCAAGTTATCCCTAATTATTCGCAGTCGGATAATTCCCTCTTGCGACTGTTATTATTATTTCGTAAACTAAAGTTGGATTACCATAAAGGGTGAGCTCAAAAGATCAGAACATCATATCTAAATTTAAAGCTGATATATACTTTTTTTACGTAAAACTCCGTTCAGATAATTTTTTATAAATAATCAGTAATATCGGCGTGTGTCTGGGTAAAAGATATATATTACAACAAATTGCTCATTATTTAACTTTAAGTGCGTCTGTAATAAAATAACGCTTCGCTTTTTCTGTTTGATTACAATTTTTTTTTATTTATTTTACTTATCTGTAATATGTCATATTTTCCATAAATTTTGAAGCGTCGTGTTTCACCATAAATTCAAGAATTAAAATTGATTACTTTTACGAGCGCAAACTAATAGTGCACGAAATACAAATAGAAATAGAAATAGAATTTTAGTGGAGGAAGAGCGGAAAACGTGGATACAGAGCGGTGATTGAATTTTGATATCGATGAGATTTTAAACGTCGACCGAATTTTACAAAACACATCATATCGACCATGAAATTCGCGTTTCGACAGATTTTTTACGTCGCCGATGAAATGACTACCGTTCCCGATATGTATCCCGGATTACAGCAATCGTACAAGCGAGCGACACGTAGATCCAATCACGGGCCATTATAAAAAGAGACGTAAATGACAAGAATCAAAAGTCATGCACGACGACAAACTATTGCCCGTCGATGGGGACACTGATTGACGAGAGCGTCCGTGTCGACACAACGTTATTACGTTTTACACGTGTAACACGTGTAACACGCGCGTTCGTGCCTCCCTATGCTCGTCGCAGCGATCGATGAGGAGAGAAAGAGAGAGTTCATCCATTTCAAATCTTAAGTAACGATGTTGTATTTATAACCGGAAAAATAAAATGCACGTTCGTGCTTTTACCCGCAGCTTTTCATTCCACATTTATATCATAAAAATCCTATTTTCTATTTTTAAAAAATTGTTTTTATGGAAAATGTGTCTCTTTTTCTCGATGACCATGGAATACGAAGATCGAACGTTTTCGATCTCTCAGAATGCTGAAGCCTACCTTATCTCGCGCCGGGTACTATTCGGCGGAACATAAAACTTTATGCGACCCGTAGAGACCGATCTCCTTATGGGAAAGGGTCGAATTCAGTCGGGCGACTTCGAAATTGCGATGAATGATCATACGAAATTGCCATGTAAGAAAGAAGGTTTAAGAAAAATTCAGTCTTGCCACAAATACAGACTTTGTCTTGAAAAATATAAAAGTGCTCGTAGGATGTTCATATTTATCTATAATTCGCAGAGAGGTATATATATATATATATATATATATATATATATATTTTTTTTTTCGCGCTGTCAGAAATTATCTTGCGGAAGAATTAAGCTAAAAGGCGCAAAGGAACAAGATAGAAAGTTATAAGAGTCTCGCGAGAGTTCAACGAGCGTAAAACGACGTTTACGATAAAACGAAGATACCCTTATATACATTCAAGATCGCTTTAGTAATCTTCTCGATTGCGATCTTGCGAGCAGATGCGCAAAAACGATAACTTCTACATTATATCTGTATATACAATATTTCTGTTGTTTTATTTATTACTAGAACAAGTCCAAACGCAAGTTATGAGCGCGCTAATTCTTTGATTTTATATTAAAAAAAATAATACTTTTTAAAAAAATAATATAAAGTTTATTTAAACTTGATTAATATTTTTTGACAGAAATTAGCTGATAACTGTCAAAAATATTAATCGAGTTTAAAATATTATAACATATTATTAAAAACATTATTATTTTAACTTTTTTAAAATATTATTATTTTAAAATTAATTAGCAAATTAACACGCTTTAATCAGCTGATTTCTGTCAAAAAATATTAAAATAGTAATATGTTATAATGCCTTTTCTGCAATTAATATTTTTTGATAAAAATCAGTTGATTAACTGTCAAAAATATTAATCGCGCGGATTATATTTGCTTTTTGCTACACGCGTTGTAAAAATATAACTTTTTTTTTTCTTTTATACGAATAATAGAGAAGAGAGAATCAAATGCATCGCGTTTGCGTATAGATGAAAATTTTTCTTTCCGTAATCTTTTTTTTTTTATTACAAAGCGGAAGCTGCGAGGTAATTTTTCTCGACTTTCATAACGCATTTTTCTCTTCTGATGTTGTAGAACGTGAGGGTGGCACTCAACAGCCTGCCAGCGTATGCGACGTCGAATATTACGGATTGACGTCACCAGTGGAAGGCTCGGTGGTGCATCCGGAGCCGCACCGATTATTCGCCATGGAAGGTCCGGTGAAGTGCAGGCAGCACTTTATACCGGCGCCCAACCAGTCGGTGGTCATTACTGTGAGTTACCCGACGAAATGTTTAATCTCTCTATCGTTCATTTAATCGGTCCCGTCCTGGAAGGGTGGAAGGAAAGAGGAACGGTAGGGGTAGACGAGGAGGATTGAATTCGTAAATTTATTCCCGACCTTTAGATGCTGCGCCGCGGGCATCGCCTCGCGGATGAAAACTTTCGCATTAGAGTCGGCGTCGAAAGAAGAGGTAGAGAGAGAGAGAACGGAGCAAGCAAACATTACCGTCAAATGGAGGATATACCGGAAAGGGGAAGGTTTTATTCCGAAAACTCTAAAACTTTTAATCTGCATTTACGCGCGCGCGCGATGCCGGCCTTTAATCCGCATTTAAATAATATTCCGCTGGATCAGACACGGTTTCCCGAAGGCGAAACAACGGTTCTCTGCCGAGAGAACGATTAAATGCAGCAATTGAATTTTCCGATGGAAAAGCAGATAGCGACCGTAATCTCGCGCCGAACGATATGCGTCACATTTACGTTACAAATTTGTCGCGCAAATCAAGAGAATCGTATATATACATATACATATAGCTTTAATCCCGGCGCTATATAAATCGTTTTTGTAACATATACAATATTTTTTCTCCGCTTTTTTTTTATCTTCCCAGTCTACGGAGAGTTTCAATCCGCACCGTTGAATTTGAACCATTGACGCCTGTTTGTAGGTGAAAGGTAGCACGAAACAGACTCCAAACAGCCCGTGCGAGACCAAGTGCGGTGACAGCGGCTGCCACTGCGTCAGCAAGTCCGTGGAGAATATGGACCACCTTCTGCTTGTCTCCGAGACCGGACACATTGTCACGTGTCTCTGCGGAAATTACCAGGTGAGGGCTCATGGATTTCATTCACGGATAGATACACATCTCGACGTTTGCAACTGCTTGTGCGTCTTACACCGCGCGTTTACTTTCGCTCCTTGAACGCAGCGAGATAAAAACTATCGTTATTACCGCGACTTTTATATATCCGTATTGTCACACGAGAACGTCGACGATATGTCGTTAAAATATATTGCTCGCGATACGCAATTTTCCGCGAACGGCTGTTACCCTTTTTCTCTGCCCGTTATATCGCTCTTAGCGAGATGCGCATTTTCTTTTTTTTTTTCTCTTTTTTCGAAAACAGGGAAAATTTATTACTGCACAACATCTGAAAAATTTTAAATAAACCTCTCGCTATCATCGATAAATTAAGCGTTATAAATTAAGTTCCGCGGAAAAGTATTTTGTTGCAGAAAATTAATTCAATGCAATATATATGTAATTGTTATTTAAATATACGTCAGTTTCATTAACGCAGTTTCATCATTTATTATAATTTATCATAACGTTATATGATTAGCGTATAAATAATTAAAATATAATTTAATAATCCGAATTATACTTTTGGCGAGTTTAATATACAATTGTTGTTATGCACGATCATAATGTATATATATATACACGATGTGGAACCGACTAATGACATCTGAAAAAACACATCGAGTTTTATCGATGTTTCTCAATTCGACGTTCATGTTTATGTTTAGTTAAAAAAGAGTATCAGAAAAAACTATCAACTCTAGGTAATCGACCCAATATAAAATGTGTTTGCGCTCACTACAATTTTGCAAACACATTGTAAAACTGACCTGACTTTGACTGTATATTCACATGATGATTATTAATAGATGTATTATCAGATTACGCAGTCGAGTGTAATCGTTATGGCGAGTCTATAAACACGATTTCGATTCGTCGGATCATCATTTCACATTCAAATGCTCGTTATTCTGCTACAATTGAAGCTATTGTGCAAACAATAGGCTAAATCTGTATAATTTAACTGTATATAGGATTAAATTCGGAATTCACGATTGACAATTAAGCGTATGACCTAGTTGTCGATAAAAAACGTCTCGATATCACTTTTTCTTCTTTTTTCTTTTCAATATCGCGCGGCAAATATCGTGCGATTAAATTTATATTCCCCATTACGTAGTTATCTATCTTTCGCCTTCCACATCCCAACTTTTTATCGCCGGTGCTCGTCTTATTTTCAATTTCTTAACGGCTCTTTTAGTCCATATTTCTCGTCGCGTTTTTCATCTTCTCTCCGATCCGCCTGCATTTTCCACGTCATATCCCTCGCGTCCCATTTTACCCGTTTAACGGGCTCTATTATCGTACAGGACTGGCTTCCTGTGGGTATTCGTAGCTGGACTCCGGTCTACATCGAATGGTCGAGGTCGTCAAGGGCGGGCCTCAATTTCCACGCGGCCTACAAGTTTATCAATGACACTTACTGCGGCGATCACACGATGGCGGAACCGGAAGGCGAGGTCAATGGTGGTGATCTGGCGAGCGCCGGGCTCAAGCTAAATCAGTATTACCAGCAGAAGTGCACGTGGATCCTGGACTCGGCGATCGACCGGCAGCTCATCATCGAAGTCAAGTCCACACAGAGCCGTAAGCAGCCCTTTTCGTTCAACAATTACATCAGAAAAGTTTGCTTGCAAAATTTTTCACTTTTTTCTTACAACAAAATTTTCATCGATTTTTTTCATACTTACTTTCAACATTACCTAGATAGCTTGAATTATTTATATTTAAAATATAATTTATGATTATATTCAACTTTAACTATATGATACACTAATTATATACCAATATTTTAAATTATTTATTACATTTTAGTCTAAAAAATTGTCTTTTATATACATTTTTTATGTGAAAGTATCATAATTTATAATTTGATAATAAATGCAATTTTATAAAAATTGCTCAATTTTCTTCAAATCGAAAAATTAATTTCCAGATTCCACAGTTTTATACTTTGCAAGAAAAATCGCGAGCAGTTTAATAGTATAAAAATGATTTATCTCGAGGTACCTACGTCTGCCAGGAGAACATTACTCAAACAATTCATCTTCGAAAGCTATTAAAAGAAAACAGAAAACAGCTGCGTTTCGAGACAGAGCATATCTTTCGCGGATCTTGTACATTAAGAATTCTCCGTTACTATAGCGCAATTAATTTCTTTGTCACAACAAACCTGTTGATATTCCCGCTGAAATTTTAACGTAACTACATATGCATAGCTAGTATGCATTTAATTTATAAATGGATATATTTAATAACTTATATAGATTATACATTAAATTTCGAATGATTATTAAATCATACCTTTGACATTTAGTAAAAAAATTATATCGCGATGCTTGGAAAATTTGCTCCATCAAAAAAAAATTAAAGATATGAAATAAACGAAAAGAAAAGCAAAGAAATCGAAATATTATTTCGGATATTATACATATATCGAGAATAAGATTTTTTTTTTGGATTTATTATTCTTAAGGATGTTCCCTTCCTTCAGCTCCTTTAACTTTTATTTTGATAAACCCAACAATTCTCTTTCTATCCCGCAATAGAATTTCACTAGAATTCTATTCCAATTCTAGCCGAGGCTCAAGAGAAAACAGAGATAGATCATCTTGCTCGCGACACGCTCCATCTCTGGCGACGACACGGAGAAATCTTCCCTCGATTGCTTTTCTTCCGCGAGACCGCCGGAATTTCTATCCGCGCCATTGGCTCCGCCGTCGCGGACGCGAAAGGGTGAAAGTTGTGGAAGAATAAAGTCGAAAGGGTGTGAGAGAGAGAGAGAGGACGTCGCGGGCTCGAGCGACCGAGAAGACAGAGGAGCGCGTCGCGAAACGAATGGCAGCGGGTCGCGAGATTAAAGAGACCATCGGATTTACTACGACGGCGAAAGCTACGAGGACGAAAGCTCTGCGCCTCTTCCTCTGAGCGTTCCACCAGTTTTTCCGCCTTTTCCCGTTCGCTGCCTTCCCTACGCTCCCGCGGTAACGTAAGTCGTCATCTTACGAGCGAGCAGCAAAGGGGCTCGAAACCACCCCACGTCGCATATATATTTGAGTCTGGGAATATTATGATTGCTCTTCACCGCGTGAAATGTGGGGTGTGAGGGATATTGTTTTCTCTTTCTTTCTCCCTTTGGCATAAGATAGATGCAATTGTCTATGTGAACTTATCTTTGACGTTATATGTTCTATCCCAGCAAACACCGATATATAATTGTTACATTGCTATAATAAAACGGAATATAACAGGTAATATAACGTGTACTTTACATGTAACATCCATGTTAGTTGTAATTTCCCACTCATAGATGTAACATTTTAATATAACATATATTACATTGTAGTTATATTGTAATTATATACCAAATAGCACATTGATGTATTGATAAGTCAGTGCTATCTTGGGATATAATGACAATATAACTACAATGTAATATATGTAATATTAAAAATGTTACATCTATGAGTGGGAAATTACAACTAACATATACGTTACATGTAACATGCTTAAGTATATAACATTTATATACTGTGTTTGCTGGGATATAAGGAAGACTCGTTGCAATTTTTTTCTTTTGAAACTGAACATTCGATATTGTCAATCCTTTGTTATTATTGGATTATAAGTTGAAACGGGTCATTATTTTAGTATCTTCTTTTTCTCTCGAAATGTTGACGACGACCGATCGATGCAGCAAAATATATGCATAATAGAATCATAAGCTAGAATTGATCTATACAATTCGTATATAGGAGAATATTATCCATTACAGCGTTTCAAGAAAAGATGGTTTTATTGATTTACAAATGCAGAAACGTATATGAATAGAACGGATCATATACCGCTGTAATATATATTACTTAGTAACAGTAAATAGACTGAGCATCGAAAAGAGCGATATTGTAATCGCGCGTTATCAATTTCAATTTGTGTGGAGAAGAGATATGTGATGCGAAAAGTTTCCACATATCGAAAAAATTCTAGTTCTGTTATTGTCATGAAAAAGCAACTAGGATATTCATATTTATTGCGTTAAAGAAGTACAGGAATAAATATTAAATAAATTAATTAGACTTTTATATGGAGCAGTCCGTTTTACAAACAGTACCACGAATTGAATTATTTCAGTAATGATGTTCCATCCATAACTTTGCGATAGAAATCATTTCTTCCGTTAGGTTCTCTTTTCTATCTTCACTCTATAGCTCATTCTCATTTTCTTCCTCCACGCCGTCTTATAGAACATTATGAGTGGAGTTGGAATCGTAACCAAAGCCTTACAAACGCCGGAAATGGTTTTAATATACCTTTCAAACCATGGTATGACTACATTTATCTCTCTTTTTACCTTCTTTCTTCTCTGACCAATCACTCCTCTAGAGAAATTTAATCGTCGAGTGATACACTTTCTGATATAAAAAAATCAAATTCACATGGATAACAACAGTTTTTGTAATTAACATCTTCAATATTAATTTACTTATGCAAGCATTATTAAATATGTATTTTTTAATGAAAAATGAACAATAAAATATCTGATCATAATTTAAAAATTCTAACCGTAAATTATGAATATATCTGAATAACAAAATTAATTTAAAAATAAATAAGAATATATCAAAGATTTTAGAAAAAATTATATATATGAAAATATATATATATATATATATATATTTTCTCGAGAAGGTATCTTCTCTCTCCTTTCTCTGTACACTTTCAAATCCCAAAATAAATTTTATAATTGGGACATTAGGTTTGATACTTGGTGATACTGTCCGCTGCGGTTTCTCACTTAACAAGACTCTGCAATGACGGTATCTTATTTTTTACTTATTATTATCAAAAAATTTAAACATATATTATATTTCTCTGTACACTTTCAAATTCCAAAATAAATATTATAATTGCAACACTAGATTTTACACTTGGTAATATTGTCCGCTTTATGCTATAGGTTCTCTACTTAACAGGATCTCGCAATGATTGTTTATCTCATTTTTTTATATAAAAATTTATAATACATATTATAAGAATATAAATGTTTAATATATAAATATTTAAACACACATATATATATATATATATATATATATATATAATACCAGATTTTATATTTGGTAATACTGTCCGCTTTATGTTACGGTTTCTCTACTTCATAAGCCCTGCAATGACGATCTCATTTGTTTACTTATTATATTTAATAAAAATTTATATAACAATTTAAATATATCTTTCAAATTCCAAAATAAATGTTATAATTGTAACATCAAGTTTCATACTTGGTGATACTGTCCGCTTAAAGCTATGGATTCTCTACTTAACAGGACCTCGTGTGATAACAGTTTATCTCATTTTTTTATCTTTATATAAAAATTTATAATATAGGTTATGAGAATATAAATATTTAAATATATATAATACCAGATTTCATACTTGGTAATACTGTCTGCTTTATGCTATAGTTTCTCTACTTAACAAGACTGCAACGACGATATAGCTCATTTCTTTTACTTATCATTGTGTGCAAATTTATAAAACATATTATGAAATTATAAATATTCAAATATATGTTATATTTCTCTGTACACTTTTAAATTACAAATGTAAATTATTTGATTACAAAATTAGATTTCATACTTGGTGGTGCTGTCCGTTTTATGGTATGGTTTCTCTACTCGACAGGACCCTGCACTGCGTGGAATCTGACAATACACGAATACAGAAAGGAGGGCGATCCCGCCGGACCCAGATTGCACACGTTCTGCTCGAGGGATTCGCACAAGAATTTCACCCTACCGTGGAAGATGAATACCGCGGTGGTTAGGTGAGTTTCCCACTTCGGCGCACTCGCGCGCGAGCCGATTAACCCAACGAAAGTTTCGTCGCGCGCGATCTTGTCTATTAGGTACGTTTAATGACAGTTTTGCGACAGTTTCGACGGGAGATTATGACATGGTCGGTTGAAATATAACGGCGTTTTGCCGGCAAACGATCGCGCCTCATTTCGTGTGTACCATCGCGTTTGCATAAAACCGAGGATTGATGCCCGCGCGATCCGTTACTGTCGTCTCGCGTGAAGAAATTATCCACTGATTAACAATCGGCCATCGTTCATCTCGCCTTACCGCGGCAATTCCAGTTACAATCGTGGCATTCTGTAATCCGCGGGATAAAAAGGAAAATATGTTATAACGCAATAGCTTTTCTTCGCGAGATACCTTTCTCACTGTCTACGACGGTGATCGATGCGGTCAAATGGAAGAATGGTTCATTTTATCGTAGGAATAATAATTCGTTCTGAATTATTCACATGTTAATAAAAAATTAGGAGGAAGGAAATTATGTAAAGTTGATTCTCAAAAATTATAAATCAAAAATTACACATAATTAAATTTTAAACATTTTGGATCGAGTTAAAGAAAATACCCTTAATATAAGCGATTTTAATCAATTTTTTTATACATGTTTATCGAAAAACATAAATTCTAAATAAATCGCATAATATTAATTTAAAAAATAGGCAAAGTCTATAATTTTTTGATACAATCAAAAAAATAAGAAACTAATTATATTTTCCAGACTGCAAGCCCTCGGTAGAACCGCGCCGCAGTACACGATGAGATGGCGAAGTCTGACGGTGATCGCCAACACTCGCAAAAGCGGACCATCGCCAGCACCAAACTGGCACGTGAATTTCTCGAGTAAAACGGAACCACGAGGGACGGCTTTTCTCGTTTTCATCGTGTTCACAATACTGTTCGCGCGTTCGTTCGATTGTTAAAAGCGCGAACTCGAGGTAAAAGAATCGCGTCTACACACTACCTGTTCCTGTTAATCGAACGAGCCTAAGTTATATAGAGTCACATATGTACATAAACTTGTGAGGACTCGTGCCCCGGAATCCTCGTTTTACGTCGCCCGATTTGTAAGAATGAATTTTAAGATGGATCACATCGTGTTGCGCTGATCGAGAACCGAGATTTTCCACCGACTGGCTCGTTAATTCCTAACTGCATAATTTTCACGAAAGAAACATTTTAGATGCGGAAAGGGAATATCGCACGACCGTATACGCGCGACAAATAATAATTCGGAGACGAGACATTTTTAACTAATCTTTCTGCTATATTTTTCACTCTACATACGATCCATTTTTTACGATACGATGGAGAATTAACGAACCAGTTTACTGTTCTTCTCGATCAAATCGTACGTGCACATATATGTATATGTATATTATATTATGTGCCCATATATGTGCGTACATCAGATTTAAAGAGAATAATGATCGACATTTGTAATGAGTGATTAGCTTGCACAATCTGTTATTTGAATCAGAGAAGAGTCTGGTCTATGAAGGTTTTAGGTCGTTCATTCGACTGAGTTTAAAACTTTTTGTGCCCTACACTCAAATAAATGATAATATTGATTATAAGATTTTATTGTTTTGCTGTAATTAGAATTTAAACATTATTAATACATGTATATAGATATTCAGTATTGTAGAACCCGTTCACTCTGCGCCTCTCATTTTCTAAAATGTTTTTACAAATCGATAGTTGCTAAATAAAGATATAACCGATATTGTTGTACAATGGCAATGTATGCAATTGTTTCTGAAAATAATATATGTAGAGCGTTATTTTCCTTGTGTTTTTTCCAATTTTTATGCAATTTTCTTTTATTTGAAGCGTATTAAGGAGATACAGTCGTAGTTCTGTTTTATCAATTTTAAGTTAGGTTAGGTTCACTTTTTATTGAATATACAGATCGAAAAATTCTCCACAATAAAAGTACTGATAATAATGAATGGGGAGCGCTGTCTGGCAACTAATTTTTGCTGTTTTATGCCTCGACTTCGATTCCGCACGCAAATATACATACATAATTAAATCAAGTACGAATCTTTTGATAGAGGCTTTTAATCTCATTTTTATTACTTCGGTATTATTATTTTATGTCATCTCTATTGGGAGCGCCATATTTTGTGCACAAATAAACTGCAGATCTTTTGTATTAAATAAGTATTGTTATGAGCTGATACAAGAGGCTGATAAAAAAACTGTAACTTTTTAATTTTTATTCCCAGCAAACACCGATATATAATTGTTACATATAATAAAACGGAATATAACTGGTAATATAACGTGTACGTTACATGTAACATTCATGTTAGTTGTAATTTCCCACTCATAGATGTAACATTTTAATATAACATATATTACATTGTAGTTATATTGTAATTATATACCAAATAGCACATTGATGTATTGATAAGTCAGTGTTATCTTGGGATACACTGTAAAAAAATATGTAATATATTACACAAAAATATGTAAAATTACATAAATAATAAATGTAAAATTACGTGATAAATAATGAAAAGGTAAAGATTTCTATTATTTATTGTGTAATTTTACACTTATTATTTATGTAATTTTACATATTTTTGTGTAATATATTACATATTTTTTTACAGTGTATAATGACAATATAACTACAATGTAATATATGTAATATTAAAAATGTTACATCTATGAGTGGAAAATTACAACTAACATATACGTTACATGTAACATGCTTAAGTATATAACATTTATATACTGTGTTTGCTGGGTTGTTTTTTTATACAAAATTTTAGCGCTTTCCGTTCATTATTATCAGTATTTTAATTGTGGAGAAGGATTTTTCATTTTGTATAGCTAATAAAAAGAAAAGCTCTTAAACTCAAAGTCGGTAAAATAGACATACTCAGCATCTCCATTAAGGCCAGAAGAGAATAGCCTTGTGTACATATTATACATATATAAAGAAGATTAACATGCAAGAACGCGATGCACGGATTTGAAATAGCGAGAATCACACACACACACACACACACACACACACACACACACACACACACACACACACACACACACACAAACACACACACACACACACGTCACCTCCCTCTCTCTCTCTTTCAGGCGAATGCCAAATTACACGTGTAAGAGATTACAACCATGTAGCGACCTGTGTACATAGGTAGCAGCGGCGTTAATAGAATTTGTACAGAACACACGATTAATTGTGTCTATACCCTAAGTCTGCGAATTACTGTAAAGTAACGATAAGATAATTAATCTTACGCGGCTCCGCGGGAATGAGCACAAAGAGAGAATGTGTATTTTAACGAACGAGCTTCGCGTGTGCCCAAGACACTTCGCGATTTATTGTTACACGTTGTTTGTCGGCCGAACGGGACGCCCTTATCATCGCAATGACGTATCGATAATTATCATTCCGTTCCTATTTAATTATTCGAGGAAACATCGAATCGAGAATAAAAATTCAACCTCCGAGTATCTCACGAAGATGGGGCGCGCCGATCCGCTAGAGCAAACTCGCGATTGATTAATTATTATCGGAGATAAAATGGAAATAAATGCTAGAGGTCGTAAATACTTGTATAATGTACGTACTTGCATATTTGCATAATACCAGCCGGTAGGCAACGAATCGCGAAACGCGTACTCCTAACCAGCTGTACTACAATGCGAGACAATGTTATTTCTAGAATTTTTCATTGATTTTATAATGAATCTGTAAGATCTCATCGCGATTTTTCTTTTTCTACGAATAATTAAGATAATGCAACGTGTGTTGGCCTAAATATAATAACACTAGTCATCCTTGTGCACTTCCTCTGAAAGAATCTTTAATGTATGTAAAAAGGAATTCGTATTATTTTCTCGTATTATTTATATCAGAAAACTCTCGTTTTTTTTTTATTTTGTATACATTAAATGTGTCTGATCTCATTTAAAAAATACAAACGTATAAATATGTTATTGGTCGCTGTAATATCGAAACTTTTTTTAATATTTCGCAAAGAGATCTCTTCGCTCGATCTTTTCTTAAAATTATGAGTAATACCTATATACTGTATTTTTTGTTCAGAATGTAATTTATATAAAAACGTAAATTGATTTAAATTGATTTTTGCTTTCTCTACAATCGAAGAAGAAATATTTGCGAAATACATTGAAAAAATGAATTAATGACACATTATACTATAGAAATTATACGGATAAATTAGTATTTATTGCTATAATACATCGAATTACTTTTATATACATTGTTACTAAATTCGTATTTAATAATACGCAGAGAAAAACACTTATATTGTAATATGTTATGTTGTAATTTATAAGGTAAAGCGAAATTATACTCGCCGAGAACCTCGTCAAACCAGACATGAAAGTTGTTGTCCATTTAATTACCGCAGAATCAAGTGTTGCAATAAAATCGAAATTGATGCACAGCAATATAATTTAATATTAAAGAATGTAGATGTGTGAAAAATATATGTTAAAGAATTAATTTTTCAAAGAAAAGTATGACAAGTATTACGCAATTTTATGTTCAATATATTCATATATTTATAGAAATTGCGTTCGATATATTGTTACTGCGTATTTATACAATAACTGGCCTTTTATTTGGAAAGTATATCGATATTTTACACAAAACACGTGCGACCTAATGAAAAAAAATACGTGTTACATGTACATGTACTAGCCGCGTATATATATAAATATATATATAAGTCACAATAAATAGTCAATTGTTTCATATAAAGTCTAAATAAAGTAAAATGAAACACTAACTTGTCCATTTGTTTAGCTCAGGCCTGTAATTATTACTTGAATATCATCTTATAAAGAGCGTATATAATGTGATACTCAGAATAAAGTTTTATATCTTGAGATGAAAAGACAGCTTAATACACACCTTTTATTAAAGACTATAATCCTATATGAACTGTATTAATAAAACCAGCAGCTTATTCAAAAATACGAGTTTTCCAGATTAAATAATTGTTAAAAAAATTTTTTAATTATTTCCATTATCAGAATTCTTTGGAAGAACATGTTACATACCCAGAGCTACACGAAAACTGTTTCAAAACTTAACTTGAGACATTGTTTTCCCATATTTTGATGCCCGCTCTTGCATTGTTTGATTAGTTAATTAAAAACGATAATTAATTTATTCCAAATTTTATGGTCTCGATTATATATCGTAACATTAGGTCAGGATACTTATTTTTTAAATATTTTTTATTATTAAAGTGAGGATTATTGATTTCATGTTTTCTCATATTTCAAAGCTTGCTCTTGTATTTTTTAATTAGTTTCAGTTATTAGAAACAAAAATTAATTTTTTCCAAAAATGTCCCATTTTAGATATCATTATGTTAGGTATTAATACGTGTTAACAATAATTAATAACTGTACGGCCAACTTTTTCTTTTTTTGAATACGTGTTATTTTTTTCAAAATTTTTTATCATTAAACTGAGGATCACGTTATTTATGATTTCCCACATTTTGAAGCCCGCTCTTGCGTTTTTTAATTAGTTTCAGTCATTAAAAGCGATAATTATTTTTTTCCAAATATGGTCTCGATATACCGTAACATTAGGTTAGGACATGTGTTTTTAAATATTTTTTATTATCAAACTGAGGAACTTTTCATTCATGTTTTCTCATATGTTGAATCGTGCTCTTGTATTTTCTAATAAGTTTTAATTATTAAAAATTATAATTAGTTATTTGAAAGTTTTAGGATTCCCATTTTGATACCAGAACCATTACATTGGATATTAACACTTGTTTTTAAATATTTTCTATTATCAAACTAAAGAATATTTTATTCATGTTTGCCCATGTTTTGAATTGCACTCTTGCATTGTGTAATAAGTTTTAATTATTAAAAGCAATAATTAATTTTTCCAATGTTTTAGGTTTTCCATCTTTTTTTCTTAAAAAAAAGCGATTTAAGGCAAAGGTGCAAAGGGTGATCTTGTAGAATTCATTTCTACGTAAGATTGATTGTTTTGTATGTATCGCTAGTTAATTCTTTCTATCTCGAGAAAAAACAGAATACTAAAGCAAAGATGCATAGAGTAATCTTGTAGAAATCGACAAGATCTACAAATTCATCAAGTTACTTTTCTACGTAAGATTTATTGTTTCTGATTGTGAGATATTGCCGATTAATTCGTTTTTCTTATTTATCTCGTAAGTGCAGCATTCTACGGCAAATATGCAAACGGCAATCTTGTAAAAAATCGACAAGATCTACATACAAATTCACCCTTGACTTATGTATATATAATCTACGTAGTTGAACATAGAATCTTTAAATCATTATTTGCTGATAAATTATTAAACCTCATATTATTATATAAGCCCATAGGTGTATCAAATATCTGTTGATAAATTATTTTGTTAAACAAAAAAAGTGGAATTTAAAACAAATCTGACAGCTCTATTGGTATAAAATAATTCTCATATCTCAAAATAATTTTATTCTTAAAATAAGGGTCAGCTTATTTCCAAAAATTGTTTGTAAGCATTATCTAATCTTGATAGGACAAAGGGGCCATTAAAAAAAAAATATATACGAGTATATATATATATATATATATATATATATATATAATATTATCTACTTATTATTAAATACATTTCTGTAATTATAATTTATGTGCAATTGTTTTAACATTAAACTTGTGTTTAGTAGTGTAAAATATAAAATTTATTTATATTACCTTTTTTACTATATATACTTCTAAAACTAAAATATATTTGAA